TAACTCATCAATTAGGTTACCTATAACATATGCATCACTTCCAATATCATCTACATCTTCATTTCCTTTCTGTCCTGTTGTACATAAATGTCTTTTCTTGGTCTTTTCTTGGTCTTTTCCCTGAATGTTTCGGCTGATAGATGCCATAGCTAATGCCACGCAGAATACGAAGAGAACGGCAAGTCACAAGGTGGTAAGCTTAATCCCTTATAAGCGTCATTGCTGTACTATCCATTCATAATTCGAATTTTCAGCTTCAACCCAGAACCAAGCGAAGAGCAGTGGTATTTGTATTCGTGCATTCCAAAGTGACGAGTGAGTATATAAGCTCACAGAGGTAGACTTCAAATTCTTTCTCTCTCTCTATCTCCTTTTTCTATTCGCGTACCGTTAAATACGAGATTCTGAATCGCGTACTCTGGGTATCCCACTGCATCGCACTCACAAATGTCTTCATCCGAAGAACTCTCCGACCTATCTCTCCCTTCTATCCTCACCCAGCTAACCGAACAAACCCTTACTTCTCAACAAGAATCGGGATCAACACCCCTACTATCCTGGTCCCCTACCACTTCCTTCCTCGTCGCTACACTGGTGTTCACCATATGTGTCCGCCGTGCGTGGAGGTTCTATTGTACGGGTACTTTGTCTGGATCTTCAGCTTCAGAATCGACGTATCATAACGATCTGCATCATGATGCTTATTATCATCATCATCATGATTGGCACGCGCCTTGGCCCCGAGTGTGCATAACGATGCGGGAGTTGTGCGAGAGGGCGGAGGAGGTAGATGAGGTCCTGGGGAGTTTCAAGACGTCGATAATGATGGGTGCGACGAGGACTCCGTCGTCGGCTGTAGTTACAGGTGAAGTCACGCGTACGAACTTTGGCTATTTCGACGTGATGCAACAATGGGAAGTGATGATGGAGTATGAAGAACGAATGATGCGGTGAGTATGCAGCATCTCTCATCGAAGGAATATACCTTTTGTTTGTCGTGCGCTTTTTTGACTTGCCTATTCATCTTCTACCTCGTGTAGCATCCAAGAAACGATCCTCGATCTCTCCCTCGAAACGCATAACCTACATGATATCCACCTTCATGATCCCTCGACTCCTCAGGAAAAATCTGTACAACTTTATCCGGAACAAACTCCACCAACATCCGAATCACTTTCAGCATTATCCAGACCGATGTTCATACCGACGTCCACCGTACCGTTATCCTTACCAACGTTCATACCGACATCCATACTAACACCCATACGAAGACTGTTCCTGAACTGCATATACCACCTACAAAGAATCCGGAGGATCGCAGAATGTTATTGTGATCTGAGGAGGTTGAGGACGGAGATTCATGTGAGCATATTTACATCTCCCGATATTCCCTTCCCTGTCCTTGGTATCGCTGCGGGTCGGCAGGCGTATGGTTGGCTTATTCAATCTCGTCGCGGTGTCTGACCGTGTTTTTACGCTTTGCTTTTATGATTACAGATTTCAGAACAGATGAGTCGGAGAGAACAGGTTCGGTGGGGCTTGCAGGTATCGAAGTTGAGGCGAGCTTCCATGCCATAACTTTGAGTTTCGACTAAGGTAGAGATAAGTACAGTAAATACACAAATCTGCAAGATACATACTACCTGGGATGAGGGGTCAAGTTCGTATATGCGCACATTAGCTCTTCTATGCAAACACGCATCTTGACTCCTTGGTTGCAATCCACAACTCTTTTGTTTACTGGCAAAACTTGAACATGATTCAAGCGGTTTCAAAGTGTTTGAACGCACATGGCTGTATTGCCTGAGGATACTAAACACTTGTGTAGTTCCGTTAGATTTATCTTGTGTGCAATTATCAAGTTAGGCCCAACTCTTGGCTGTTATGTTTTTACAATGATACCCATGGTCCAGCAACGTCAATGATACAAGAAAAAGATTGTGACTTCTCGTGCAATTCATCTCTTCAGCCTGGGTTCACCCAATCATTTACTCCGTGACACCGTTAATATTCTGTTCCTTGTATGCAGTTTCCTTGCCAGTCTGAAAGAAAAGAACGATCCCAAGTCAGCCTGGAATCTATAATACCCCCAAAAAAATAGTACAGAGGGAGCACTTGCATTATCATTGCGGATCACGTAGCGAGGATCTTCGGGGGTAGCCTGAATTGATGTAGGTGAATAAAACTGTTAGAAGAGAGAGAAAAAAAGACAAAGAGAGATGAATGCAACGTACATTAACTTTAACACCAGTATCACCAGCGGGTCGTTTATGTGTGATAACTTCCTGTATCTCTCCCTCGGTGGTGGAGGTCGTGCCTTTGCCCCCGCCTATGGCTTGGTACTGGACGTGGTCACCGGCCTACCAGAACGAAACGACACAGAGTCAATATTCATAGTATGGAGAAAGAGTCGACGAGGGAACATACCTCGTAGGTTTGGGTGTGATTTCTGTGCGAAGACATGGTTGGTTGGTTATGCTACGTGGGTTTCGTCAAATGCGCTGTGTGTTGGTGTTGGTGTCGGTGTTGTGAAGACTTGGAGATGGGGGATATACCCCGAAACCACGTCTGCTTTTATACCCTTTTTACTAACAACGTAAATCCAGTTAAATAACAAGAATACATGACGAGCCCCGCAAGACGATGATGCGACAGTGTGGTGCAGGCGCTGCAAAAAACATCATCTATGACATGGAAAGTGGGGGAAGTCGGAGCCTTCATGACGATGTTGACGACTAGGAGCATTTATTAGATGTTTGCCGAGAATATTGAGCTCCATTTTACATAAATTTCGGGTACATAAATGGGACTCGGTGTCTTTCGAATGATTGTATTGCGCATATATCTGGGGAAGTAGACAGTGGGGTGGGGTTAGGCATCATGAATGGTGGAAGGTGTTGCAGGGTGTTGCTCACTACAACGTATCGCTTTATGTACTCCGTCCGAGTCAAATGCACATTCCTGTAGATTTAGCTTGGTGTACATGGATTGTCCCGACAGGATTGTATGGTGGTGCTGAAGCTAAAGCCAACGCCGGGCCAGGTAGGTATACTTCATGTTGTAGATCATCCATCCCTTCGGGCACTCTGTTCGCGCTAAACAGCTGCTGTAGTACCTGCTCAGTAAAACTTGATGTGTGTACGTATCCCGTGTTCTGAAGCTTCAGAGCGGGATACTTTATGTGACCGTTCTTGCGCATGAAGCTCGGTGCCTCTTTTGCTGTGACTAACCGACTGGGAGACGTATCAGCTTCCACATTCCGGTGAAACACAGCACAGGACTTGTGCCACTTATTCGTCAAGAATCTTGTTCGACACTCGCATCGACTCGTTTAGAGAATTTCGAATGTTCAGGCAATTGTATGTATAGTTTGAGAACCACAAGTATGTAGTCCCAACCCAACGATTTAAAAAACGTACAGTTGACTTGTTCATTTGTCTTTGATATATGTTTAAATCATACATTGTCCCCAATTCACTCCAACTCCAACTCCCAAGTTCATGGAATTTGGATAGATAGATTACATGAATTTGGACGCCTATAAGTCATTGTCAGAAAGAAATATCATCACTGGCGATCATCACGACTCACCAAACCAAGCATCCCACTCATCCCACCAAGCCCACCAGAATTCCCTCCACCCATCATCGAGCTCATCTTACTCTGAACAAGCATCTTCATAACCATCATCCCAGCACCGTTTACCGCATCCTGTTTGGAACCAGAAGCTGCGCCCCCGGATTGATCGAAGAGCTTCGAGGCTTCCGCCATCGCCATGCTGATCAGCTCGCTCTTGGACCCTCCGCCTCCGCTGCCGGAGGTGAACTGTTTGAAGATCTGTAGTGGTTGATGCGTTTGGCGATCAGGATAAGGAAAGTTTCTTGCAGGAGTACAGAAAGACGTACCTGGAGGGCAGCAGCGCTTCCCATAGATCCAGCACTCAAGGAGCCAGCATTACCCCTCTCATACGCTTCTTGATGGGAATTCGTAACGTGTTCCTCATCGATGGGTTCTTCGTGTTCTTGCTAATGAAACGAGGGGATCGTTAGAATCATACACATATCCACAGATCAAGATTAAGGATACGACTACTACTACTACTACCCGTAGTGGATCCCTGACGAAAAGAAACTTGCAAACACTCACCGTGTTACTCTTCACATAGTTCATCGCATGAGAGAACATCCCCGAGTCACCAGATCCGTGCTGTTCAGCTGTTTGGACGACTTCGTCGTGGTTGACTTGTTATGTGTGCATGCGTGGGTAGTAAGTGGCAGATGAGAAAGGGACAGTTGTGCATCGATCGATGATTAATGATAAGAACACATTATAAACCGAGGAGGTAATCATCCACTCACAGCTTGGACGACTAACACCCTGAGGACGATTATCAGGAGAGTTGTATTCAGATCCTCCGGTCTTCGAGACGTCGGCTGGATGAATCAGATTAAAAGAGTTAGCAAGGCAAAACGGAGGACTATAGTTGAGGAGATCACGAACATTGAGAAGCTTCATAAGCTGCGTAACCTTGTTTCGCGAGATTCATGAACGAGTCCTAATCATAATTCGATGAGTTTGTTTTGTTCATCCAAGGCTCAATTAGGAAGACACACCATAGCTGTAACCTACTGATAAAATCGATCTTTGGAAGAGACAGGAAAGAGAAGATGGTGGTGGTTGTCAGTTGGAATGAAAACCGTGAGTTCCGCTTGTCAATCCAGCCTGTCGTTTGTGCTGTGTGCATCGCTTTTGCCTTTTTCCATATATAGGGACAAACGTGATGTCATTGATGCGCCCAGGCGCCGAGAAGTGCCGAAGGAGCCAGACAAGTCAGAATATATAAGTTCAATATATATATCGTGACCGCGGCCCGGATACAGGAAAAGTCTGGGAGTACTGGAAGAGAAGCTAAGAGAAGGGGGAGTCGTTCTTTGAGAACTCGGAGGAGAGGGGAGATGAGAAATACGATGAACAGGTGGAGTCGGAGCTCAAAATTCATTGCCCGCCTAGCTCAATCGGATAGAGCGTCAGACTCTTACCTCTCTGGTTGATTGTGTTGTCGGGTATCTGAAGGCTGCGAGTTCGACCCTCGCGGTGGGCTATAATATACATAATACATATGAAGAGTGGTGTTGTTTGTGTTTTTGTTTCATTCTATCCCGCCCTCTGCTCCGCTCCACTCTTCGGAGGTCGGTTAAGATGAGAAGAAGAGGCGCATGACAGACACCTCTTTATCCTTGTAGTTTGTCACATGCATTCCCAGTTCCGACACGGTTTGTACTTCCAAGTACGGAATTCTCCAACTACATATCGTCTTCAAAATTATCATGCAACGAGTACATAGAAACCCCCCTCAGCGCTTAAGCAGCCACACCCGAAATCAAATCCACCAAACCCACCAAAACCAAAAACAAACAAAAAGATAGTTCCATTGCTTATTGTGTTATTCCATTGTAATTCCATTGATTCCATTGTATTTGATGTATATACAGACACAGTCCATTGTAGTACACAATACAGAAAAAAAGTATTTGGTATTTGGTATGATTACAGTAATGTTATGTATGGGATAAGACGATGTGGAGCGATAACGAAAACAATGCATTATGCATTATGCATGAGGATCTATGAGGATCTATGATCAACGAGGAACAGAGGAAGGGGAAAGTGAGGAAACCGGAAAGTGAGTTAAACCAGGAAGTGAGGAAAAGAGAAAAATGAGGAAGCACTGAGAGGGAAGTGAAGAGAGGGAAGAGGGAAGAACAGAGGAAAGGGGGGGGGGTATAAATGAAATATAAGTATAACCAGTCAAGGGGGGAAAAGGAAATTAAGATGAGACGAGGACAGAGGAGGAAGACGAGCATGGATGGATAGTGGGATCCGTAACAGGACAGGAGAGTGAGAGAGAGGGGGGGATTGATCAATCAATCAATCGATCGATGTGATCGAGAAACGGGAGGATGGGGAGGAGTACGAGGGAGGAGGAGGGTAGGAAGAAGCATAGATAGCATAGTGGGAGACATCGACATCGACAGCATTGCCGACGACGATAGCAGAAGGATAAACGGTAGATGATGAAAGCAAGGGCACGGGGAAGGAAGTGAGAAAGCCATATGTGATTAATGATTAATGATTAACAGGAATGCATGAGCGACGAAGCAACGACGCAACGGAGCGACGAGACGTTGGATGTTGGATGTTGTCGACGAGGGGAGGAGTGAGGATGAGGATGGAAATGCATAGTACTCAAATGAACAGAGAGAGGGGATATAAAGATAACAAATCTTGCTGAAACCAAGACACCAATGCAAAATGCACAATGCGAATGCAACCAAAAAAAAAGAGAAACGAACAAATCAGAGTTTCTGATGGTCGGTGGACCCCTTGCTTCGATGATGATCGAAACCGAACTCGATCTGGATTCTCAAGCAGTCGCCGGTATCGCGCCGAACCTCTCCCTCGTCGGCGTGGGGCCTGCCCACGGGACCTGAGTTTGAGGCAGAGATTGGGTTTGTGATTGCAACATCGCCACAAACGAATCCACATCCCCATCCCCATCCCTAACCCCTGCTTCACCACCACCTCCAAACAACCCAAACCCGAAATCCACATTAACATTACTCCCAAACCCCGAATCCCCATCCAACCCACCCTGGGTCTGAGTCCCCTGCAGGAACTCGGGAAACTCATCGAGGTTAAACTCGGGAAGGGAAGGGAAGGAGGAGAAATCGAAGGTGTCGAAGGACGACGACGACGGGTTTGGGAATGTTGGGAAGGTGGTGAGATCGGGGAGGGAGGAGAGGTCGGGAAGTGTGGGGAGGGAGGAGTAGGTAGGGGGGTTGGAATCGGAGAGGTTGGGAGGAGGGAAGTCGGGGAAGGTGTTTGTGTTGTTGGTGTTATTGATGTTGGTGGTGGTATTAGTGGAGGTGCCGTTGCCATTAAGTATATCCCCCGGAGTCAATGCTTTCCCATTCCCATCAGCGAACACACCAACCGTACACTCCTCATCCTCTCCATCCCCGAATAAACTATCCCTGTCTTCGGATTCCTCCTCAGTCAAACTCCCGGACGCCGACAACGCCGGTGTCGAGGGCGACGACGAGGACGAGGAGGAAGAGAATCCAGAGAACGCAGAATGCAAATCCGGAATCGAAACATCCACATTCGCGTTGCCGCCAAAATACACAAGCCTGTTAGACGCATCCCCGTCATCTTGCTCCTCGGAGCGAATAACAGGATCCGGAAACGCGAAAAACAGCGGATCGATCCATTGGTTCCCAAAGTCTTTTTCTAATGCGAAACCCTGGGACGGCGGGGCTGAGAACCACGAATCCAACACGGGGACAGGGAAGCCGTCGAATGTTAGTGGTGGTGGTGAGAGTGGGTTTTGTATTTGTCCTTGTTGTTGTTGTTGTGACGGCATCGGGGTAGGATCGGACACACTCCTGGAAACGCCGGCAGAGTTGAGCGCTGTGCGGAGACGCTTGGTTGATGGTGATACGGCGGGGAAGGAGGAAGAGGAGGAAGGGTCGGCGAAAGAAACAGCGCGTTTGCGTTTGAGATTCGAGGTTGATGGGAAAGTGGCTTCGGTCGGTGTGGTTGGTGCAGAGGATGAGGGGGTCGATGATTCGGAGGGTGAGGTGTATCTGTAACGGGACCCAGTCAGTCAGTTATACTGTATGAAATAACACGGCAAAGAATACCTTTTTCGTTTCTTTCCATCACTAGAATCCTCCTCTCTCTTAACCCCCCTACTCCTCTTCCTCCTCCTCTCCTCCTCCCTAACCTCCTTCGCAATTTCCCCCAACCCCGGCGTCCACTGCCTCACCCGACTCGTAACCGCCACCGCCAACTCCGTCGGATGCATCTTATCCCGATAAAGCATCCTCGCCGTATCCGCCATAACCGTAAACGTCTGATTCTCCGACGCACTCAGATGATTCGCATTCGCCGAAAACGCCAGCCCCAGCCCCACCCCCACATCACTCGTGTCAACAGCCGGCTTCACGAAAAACCTCGTCGCGGCAGCTATCAGCTCCTTTCGGGTTTTGTATTTCGGCACCTCGGTCATGCCGTTGACGAGGTTGTTTATTGGGTTCGGGGGTGGGCCGAGGGTTTTGTGAGGTCTGCGGACGCCTTCGGTGCCTTTGCCGTGGGTGCGGGCGCCCCCGCCTTTGAGGCCGCTGCGGCCTTCGATGAGGTTGGTCCATCCGATGCGACGCCGGACGTCGACGAACCAGGCGTCGATGAGGCGCCGGGGGGTGTTGGTGGTGGAGGCGATGCTGTCGCGGATGGAGGTGGAGGGATAGGGGTTGTGCAGGTTGGAGAGGAGCCAGGTGTAGGAGGGCGGGATGTAGGTTGGGAGGTTGGATGTTTGAGCCTGAGAGGAGGAGGGTGATGGGGAGCGAGTGGCTCGGGAAGGGGAGGGTGTACGTAGTTCTGTTGCGTCAGCAGCCAATTTTTGTCGCAAGTCCAGTGCGAGCCCATCTGATTGAAGTTCCAAGTTCATGAAAGTATCACAGAGAGCTTGTAAACATTGGCTGACGCCGATAGCTCGCGCACTCGTATCAGAACCCAATGTTCCGGTTTGATGACTGCCAACAACGTCTTTGACAATGTTGTCCCAGGTGGACAGCGAGTTATGCAGATCCGAAAGTTGAACATCATTGAAAAAATCATCAATAGCTGAAACTATGCGTATATCAAGGGTGTCGTTAGCGGTGGCGAGCATGTTGGGTCTGGAGGTGAAAGGATTTCTAAAATGGAGTTCGCTATAATAAGGTCAACGCATTTCGAACTCCGCCCCATTGTTTACTCGTGGGAATTACATACTAAATCAAGAGGACAATGGCTCTACATAGTACTCACTGCAGAACCTGCCCCTACTCTTTTTCACAACCAGACCATGACCAACGTGAACGTTGACATACAGGAAAAACTCAAAGAAATTCGACAGCTGGTTATCAGCTCTACCACACGTTGGAAAGATGCTCATGACAGACGTTTTGGGCCCTCCGACACGTCCAAGCAGCTTGAGCCAACCCCCATCGATATTCTACCCCTCCAACTTCATTTTCCTCCCTACTTCCATGAGCACTTAGAACACTATCAGCTTACTTTACGCGCCCGTGAAGTTCTTTCACATCGGCTTGAAGAAATGATACAGGACTACGCTAACCAGTTCGACTGTTCCTGGCGTAAACTTGCACAAACTCCTGCTCCACGACTTCGATCACTATTGCCGGATGTCATAGAGAAGCTTCGAAACGGTCTGCAGTATCATTTCGAAAATCAGGGCCTTCCCGCAATCATGGAGAAGGTGAAAGAATACGCAGAGCAACACCCACGACCCTCAACACCCCCGACCCCACCTCGTCAATCCTCAGTCGCAGCATACGAAGCACCCGTCCCATTCAACAACGTACGTCTCTTCCCTCCTTCCTTCCTCCTTCCCCACCTAACAAACCACTCCACAGGAATACACCCCCATCCTCGAAACCTACTTCCAATACGACCCTTACCCCACCTCTCGGGACCGCCAAATCATCGCGGAGCGGTCGGGCATGACACGGCGTCAGATCGAAGTCTGGGTGAGTCGCACACCTACTACTACTTTTCTATCCAAACCGACGCCAACGTCTTTGTGTTGCACAGTTCCAAAACCACCGCCGCACAGCACGTCAATCCGGGATAACCCTCCCAGCCAAACGACCCCCGGGGGCTATCGCGCCTCCGGGGTTAAACGTCCCGTTTTCTGTAGGTCAAGGACCAGATGAGTCGAGTGGGGAGAAGAGGAGAAAGGCGAGGATGTTGGATATGTTTAATATCAACTCCAAGGTTCCGAGAATCCCAGGTGGGAGTGGGAGTGGACAGGGTATGACACCAGACGATCCGATTCAAATCGATGGTGCACCTGAGAGAATGTCGATGATCACCGAAGATATCGATGAAAGTCGAATGGGAATGACATTAACGAATGCCGGGAACGGCATCTCCGTTCTCGAACCAATCGACGTAGTCGAGAGGATGGTGAGAGAGAAAGAAAGAAAAGCGGTAGAAGAAGAGATGAAGGAGGAGAGGAAAAAGTATCTGAGTGTTATC